GTCAGATTTATTATAAGTGAAAATGTATGTTTCTGGTAAAATGTCCCCTGTACTTTGATCATTGGCTGATAATATGGTTTCACTCTATACAATTTGCAAACAATATTTCTTGGGGAAAGTCTGAATGTGTGAATTAAAGAAATCAACTTTAGCCCAATATACCCTTGAGATTAAGATTTTAAAAATATGTTCACAATACATTATCTATATTTGTGTATGTCTATTGTTTATAGAGGTAAAGTTGGTTTTATATTTGGATATTCAGGACTTTCTCCTTCATAATTTCAGAAAAGTATTCTTTGAAAATTGTAAATAGGGAAATCATATTAGCAGCCAATGACTACCAAAGTACAGCATTGTTCACAGTGAATTACATAGTGTTAATGTTGTTTAAAAGGCATACCTGCATGTTAATTCTGATCGAAAATTCAAAGTAACATAGTAAACAATATAGAGACTAAATAAACCAATGTGTGAATATAAAACCAACTTTACCTCTATTGGTTTATTACTTAAAACCTAAGCAGCTTTATTTGTGACACGTCCTGCTTTATCTTTAAAATAACTAATACTTATGTTTCCTTTTTAGCTTCCCAATCTTATCTAAAATAGTAAACAAAACTGCCATACACTACAAACTCGACTTCTTCATACTAAACCAACGTCAATCATGTTACGACGCTAATCAATTATATATTAATAGCTAAGCCACAATATTACCCATCAGTGCTTGTTTGTTTATCTAATAGTGACATCACATTTCATAAACTGTACTTAAACATTACTTATTTACACGTTTAGAGTCTATATAAGTTGTTAAATAATATTACGTGTTGTTGTTTTTTGTAAGTTCTGAACAGAAACGACAGCAACTCTTCTAGCACAGCTAACGTCTCTTATTCGTGTACATAACAGTGTATTTAAAAGTCTCTTTAACGTTACTTCAGAGTATTGATAAAGTATATATAAATAGGAACAGTGACTGACCACTAATAGAATAAATTGAAGAGAATCAGGGATAGTGGTCTCTCTTGGCTGGACCCGTCTGTACCTTGTCAGCCGGAGTACATGCGGCAAGTTCCATGTGTGCTGCATTATGGGAATTGTAGTTTTGTAAGGTTGCTTCGCGCTTGCCTTTAATGGGAATAAGTAGTCAAAGGACTACAATATCCGGCATAAGGACATACGCGGAAGTAGAAAGGCAGCAGTAATCGATTGTAAACAGACTGATGTTAGTGCTGACTGACTCAGAAGTTACATATTCAATATAGCCTACATGACTTTTACTGTTATAGCGTTGTTTAGCGCGTTATGAATGTGCAAAATGTCCACATAAATGTAGTAAGTATATTTTGTTTGATTTCCTTTCATATTTTATGTAAAAATGCTAAATGTTTCTGTATTTTTGTAGAGTGTAACTAGAAACTTCCTGGCAGATGTGTTGAATCAAGTTGGAGCTAAACTGTGCTGGACACCGGCCCTCCAGGACACCCCTGGTGTAGGGGATATACAGTAATATGGAGTTTATAAAGTACAAAAATTATATTGATGGACAGTCCCCACAAAACATGGAAACATTTAGTAAAATCAGCTATATTTTTAGCCATGTTATCATATTTAAAGCTGATTTATAATCTTAAACCAAGATATAAAATCAAGTATTAATTCTAATAAATTTGTGCTTAAGAAAGCCTCATGGATATTAACCGTTTCCTTCTATTTATTTATTCATTCATTTATTTATGTTTTATTTATTTATTCCTATATTTATTTATATATTCCTATATTTATTTATGTTTTATCTATTTATTTGTTTATTCCTATATTTATTTATGTTTTTTCTATTTTTATTCCTATATTTATTTATGTTTTATATATTTATCTATTCTTATATTTATTTATGTTTTATTTATTTAT